TCCTTCCTTCCTTCCTTCCTTCCTTCCTTCCTTCCTTCCTTCCTTCCTCCCTCCCTCCCTCCCTCCCTCCTTCTTTCTTCTTTCTTTTCTTTTCTTTCTTTCTTTCTTTCTTTCTTTCTTTCTTTCTTTCTTTCTTTCTTTCTTTCTTTCTTTCTTTCTTTTTTTCCTTTTCATGGCTGAATTTCCTTCTTCTGGCCCATGTAACAATTTTTAATTTTCTATTAACTTTCATCAGTTTCTTTTTCATTTTTATGCGTATGAATGTTTTACCCAAATGTATGTCTGTGCACCATGTGTTTGCCCAGAGATCAGAAAAGGGTGTCAGATCCCTTGGGAATTATATCGGGCAGCTGTGAGCTGCCACGTGGATGCCTGGAAACAAACTCGGGTCCTCTGGATGAAGAGCAAGTACTCTTGAATTGCTGAACCATCTCTCAGCCATTTAAGATGCCAGGTCTCCATGTCTGTGACCCTCAACAGGCAGGCCTGTAGCATGCTCTCACATCTCCAGGCGCTCTGTTTCATCTCCTCTGCCACCACTGAAGCTTGAATCCTTCCGTAGCTTTATCCCTGAAGTCCTGTGGCCAAGACACATATTCAGGGTTTCCTCAACAGTCCCTTGGATTCCTCATAAAGTATCTGGGTTCTTCAGAGATGTCTCTATGGCTAATGTGGACTTGTTTAGCTAAATGAATGCTGGTCACTGTGAATACCTCATGTATATCAGCAGATATAAGAATGTCTCTGCTTGTAGCTCTGTCTATAAAAAGTACATATATATATATATATATTAGAAAATAATATGTAGTATATATGTATCTTTTGTATACATGAGTTAACAGTTTAAAAATCTGGTTAATTACAAAAAACAATAGGGGGAACCAATAACTATATATCAGTATAAATATATGTTTATATGTGTGCATGCACTTGTACAGAGGGAGAATAATGCACGTGTGGAAAAATTAACATGTAGAGACCTGGAAAGGGTGTACAGGAATCCTTTGTTCTATTCTTTCTGCTTTTCTATCAGGCTGAAGTCACTTTAAAATGAAAACTTGAAGACTTAATGGGATCAATCAACACGCCTTGGGAATCCGCTTCGGAGGCCCACGATTGTGGCAGTTTAAGTCTCAGAAGGAATAATGAGATATTCAGACAGAAAAGACAGCAAAGCAAACCATCCAGTGAGACCATGCAGGTGGCCTTTAAGCTGTGCCCATTCGAACACTGGGCACTAAACAGACAGAGCAAGACGCGGGGGCCGCCATGAGGTTGCCGCTTACCTTGGGACCACCAAGCAGGCCTGGCTGATGCATGGAAGTGCTTCTTGACAGCATGTGTCAGTGAACGCCCGTCACCTGGATGGATTTATTGAGGAAGCCACTCTTCCTGGAGCCCCGAGAGATTCTCGCTCACAGCAAGATGATCAACTAAGGCTGACAGCACGAAAAGTGTGACAGATGGGGCATCTGCCAAGGTAAGCCCACACAGACAAGCTCCTCATCACACGGAGGAAGATGGAACTGTGAAGGAAATCAGACTGTCATCACTCTAACCAAGTGATCCCTTTGGCGTCTATGACAGTGGGCCATAGAGATAGGCAATGTCTTTTGGTGTGATTTAATATAAAGGTCACACTGCCACTTAATGTATGGTTACCAGAAGATGAAGAGAACCTGCCTGAGTTTCAGTTATACCTCCCAGATTCCAGAAAATATGAGAGGCGAAAAAGGTCAGTGCAACCTTATGGAAGATGCTACACACGGCTAGAGGGTGTGCATCCTACAAGAAAGCCTGTTTTAGACTGTTTTCTGCTGCTATAACAAAATACCTGAGACTAGGTAATTTATAAAGAAATGTACTTGGTTCATGGCTCTGGAAGTTAAGGAGCACTGCATTGTGCAGGGCCTTGCTCAGCTTCTGGTGAGGGCCTCATAAGCTATTATGATAAAAGTGCAGAAAGGGAAAAATATGCACATGCAGGTACGTGGTCACCAGAAACAGAGGAGACCATGACCTGCTTTGTGACAACCAACCCTTGGGGCAACTAATCTAGTCTGATACTTAACTCACACTCATGAGTCCCAACCCAGACCTAAGCGAATATACCCAGTTTCTAAAGAAAGATATTAACCCCATCATAGGCCTCTTGAGATCCAAACACCTCCCACTAGGCTCCAGCTGCTGAAGGTCCTCTCAGTCCTGGTTATACCGGGGAGTGATGTGTCATCACACCAACCTCTGGGACAAACAGTGTCTGCGATGGTGGGTCTTGAGACTCAACTTCATGGGATCTGGACGTATGTAGGATACATAACTCTGGGCATTCCTAGAGAAGTTTAACTGAGGGGCTATCTACCCTGAAATTGGAGGGTACCATCCCATCGGCTGGGTGTGTCTGTGGTCCCCAGACTAAACAGGAAGATGAGAATGCCCATCTCCCCCCTCTGCCTCCTGATTGTGGATACGACATGAAGAGCTGCCTCTAGCTCCAGCAGCCTGCCTTGCCTATGATGGTGGACTGTTCCCTCAAACTCTGAGCCAAAACAAGCCTTCCTTTTGTTGAGGGTATTTTGTCATAGCAAGTGAGGAAAGTGACTAATGCAATATCCAGGTCACATCAAACTGGTACCACACATTACCTTCACTGGGAATGAGAAAATACTAAAGAACATAACAGCTAGAGACCGCACATCATCACAGACACTGATTGGAGTGTGGTTAAAAGGACAGATTATGCTCAGAGTGACAAACTTTTGAAGGCAAGCCCAGATGGTGCTGGCTCAGAGCCGTGTCATAGGCTCTCATGTTTCTGCTAGGAGAAGCTCTCCCTGGATTCTCATGTCTTTATAAACAAAAGAGCGTGAGGAATGAGGCTGGTGAACATACACGTTGGTCCTTGCTCACTTCTTTATGCCTGGCAACGTGTGCTACCTCCTTCTACATCCCTTTTCACTGCTCCATGGTGGGGATGTCGGCGAAATGACCTTGAATTTCCCTTCCAACTCCCGAGACACCAAGACAGAGGACTAAGGTAGGAAATGGTCTTTCATGATGATTCCTGGGCTTTGAAGCCACGGGGGAGCATGAAATTGCACGGTTTGAGGCTTAGGATGGGACCAGCTCCCAGCTGAAACAGAGTGGCCCTTTCACACCACGCTGATATTTACCTGCAAGAGGATGTGGTGCATCACCCTGCCACTCCATTATGTGATGTTGCCTCTCACTAATGATTCAAAATGACAACAAAAATATATCGAGCCTGAGTGTCAAACGTAACCTTATGCTTTAATCCTCAGGAGCAGACAGAGAATCCCCAGGAGAGTGTGGAGGAGCCAATTATACACTACTTTTAAATATGAGTACCACTTCTACAAAACAAACAAAAAACAAAATAAAACCCCTTCAAACTGTTATCCCATCTACACAGACCATTTCAGTTAGCAAAATGATTCTAGAGCTGCCCACGTTGGAAAGGAGGAAACGGCAGGTCAAGAGAAGAGTTTCCCAGTCTAGACCTTAACACCAAGGCTGGTGCCGGCTATCCGCAAGGGTTCTAGTTCCCTTAAAAGAGAAAGGGAAGCGAGGCCTCGGGAGGCCTGCTATTCTGTGGCTTGAAGTTTCAAATGTCCTCAGTGCTTGGAAACAGGAGTGAGATGAGAATGGCTCTTCCCGGGAACAAAGCACATAGGCACTACCAATGGTTTTAAGACATGTGAAGAGAGACAGCTTGGCAGGTTCTCCTGGTTACGTCTTGTGAGAATACGTCACCAACACTCTGAGCTTATCGTGCAATTTTTGAAGTCAAAACTTAACTGCCATTGTTTTGGAAACAGATGCAGGGATCCAAAGAAGCTTTGCAGGGAGAGAGCTAACAATACTCTTACTTTGGATTTGAAAACACTTTCGGATGTCTGAAATCATGACACTTCAACATCTATTCGTGTTAAGTTTGTAATCAAAATGGTGATGTGGAAAGATACAGTCAGTCAATTGTCACTTTAGAACACACAGGAATTGGACATGCTGTACATTTCTCTTTTAAAATGTAGTTTGTATTATTTTCCACCAATCAAAACACACACAATATATTTTATTATAAAACATAAGCAATGTTACTTTTGAGATAGGCAATCTGAAAGGTGGCGCCTGTACATATTACCAGCATGAGAACCAGAGGAGTCACATCAGAACTAAGCAGACAAACTCATACACCATTACCACGACTCACGCACCACTCAGCCCAGATGAAACCAGTGTTGCGTTCTTGCTTTAGATGCAGGCCCAGCGGTCAGCAAGGCCCTTTGGAGGGCTTTCTCCTTCGAACACCAGGGCTCTGGTCTTTGTATTCTAAAGATAAGAGCCAGAGCCCAGCCTGGTTCTGACTGCAGGCCCAGTGCTTGAGGCACTATGCAGCCTATATTCTGAGGCTGCTCTCCTACCCTGGCTGGACATGTCTGTCCTCCAGACCTGCGCTTGAAATGGAAACCCAGACCTGGAAGGGGTAGTCATTCCACTTTTGGCTGAAAACTAAGCCAACAACAACAACAACAAAAACTAACAGTGCAAATTCCAGATAATCATCAATTACCTGGTTTATAAAAATACATGTCCAAAATAGTGTCTTCCAGGGTGTGTACAATATAAATTACAAAAATAAAATAGAAAAGATGAAAAAGTTGAGCACATTTTTCAGTTCTTCATCCAACATCGGCATTTGCCTACAGAGGTCAGTTCGAAACCATTTGCATTGTCCCAGGACCCTGGCAAATCTAGGCTCAGGAGGGAGGACCCTGAAACTGGGGTGAGGTAATTCTGTGGAGCTCTGTGGCTGTCACAGGTGCACCTGCCTGATGGATGAGGGTCTTGGCAGAAGACCCTGTCCACACCAGCACAGGCTCCATCCACAACAGGCTCACTGGATATGCAGATAAGGGGCGAGAGAAGCCACTCTTGGAGGACAGCAGGGCTCCACTCACTGGTGTCTCCTGTCAGTGGGACTGGGGTAAGCCTCTATCATAGCATGCTTGCCCTACAGTGCAGGGCAAACAATGCAGCTTAAAAGCTCCCTTTCTGTACTTCCCTCTCAAGGGCAGTGTCAGTGAAGTCATTTAGAAGAATATGCATCAGAGGGAAGAGCACTGTGCGATGCTGACAAGATGCACAGTGGGAATGTTCAGGCCTGTGACTTCAGGCTTCCAGGGCCGCTAACCTGAAACCATAAACGAGCCTCCCTGCCTCCACCTGCACTGGCATTCCCACTGTGGACCTGAAAGTGTCATTCTTGTTCATTAAAGGGTCCAGTGATCAGACCAACCATCAGGATATGACTGGTGCAGACAGAATCATGTATCAGATGGTGCTCTTCATAAAAAGTTCTTACCAAATATCCTCCTAGAACACACTCCATAGCTCCCAAAGTAACTGAACACAAGGTATGAATTGTTAACAAAATAAGCTCAAGGGAGAAAATGCTCTGAGCGCAAGTAGCCAAGGTAAGACCATCCCAACTCCATTTCTGCAACAACACAGAGAACTCAGCATCTTACTAAATCTTGAGTAATTTACAGATCAGGATCTGAAAGCATCAATTTCAGGTGAGCAGTTTTAAATCAGAAAATATTCAAGAATGAATCGCTACTCTCTAGAATATTTCTTCTGTATTCTTCTGAAGAATGTTTCCAGAACATTCGTGAATTTCCCTTAGGAAAAGGAAATGCCTCCGCTAAATGGAAAATGACAGCAGCAAACAGACATAGTGAGCCCGGCCTCCTACGAGATCATGTGCTCTGGTTGGACGTGGCTTCTGTCAGTGAGAAAGATAAGACAGGAGGTAATGCTGCAGAAGGGAAGGCGTGAACCCAATCACCTTTCACTTTGAATAAAGAGAAGGGAGCAAGGGATGGGCAAGTTCAGGGAAGGAAGCACCATTCTGGGGAGGCCACTCTGTCAGCTCTACGCCAACCTCAGGCGGTGGGCTCAGGAGTCCCTGCCACCAGCATTCTATTGAGTTGGCGTGCTTTGTGATAAAGAAAGTGAATTCTAAGGGAGTTTCTAAATTCAGGTTTTTGGAGGACCAAGAAAAAGGAGATGTGTGGGCAGGACTCAAGGTGATGTATGTCTTAAGCAGCACAGAATACAACTGGAAACTCTGTCATGCAGAAAGCTGTATGTAAAGTATCCCACACTGGGCAGTTTAAAGGACACAGAGTGTCTATATAAAGAACTTGGTTTTAGCAGTGGTAGTTCTCAGCCCAAAACATCACAAATTTAAGAAAAGCTGTATTTTTATTTATTAAATAAATTTAATTATATTTCTTCTGAAATACAAAAGATAGAATAAATCATACCATAAAAGTGGGTAAGATATGATAATATGAGGGTGGCCAATTAATACACATAAATCTATTTTTTTGTGGACAGACACCAAATTACTAATGAGGATTAAGGGATTATTCAAGAAGCAGAACTACCTGGAAGATTATTTGGCATTTAAATACTGATTTCCAAAGTGCTACATGGGAAGTTCAAGCAAGCATTTGTGGTCACATGCATACGAGTCCCCACGGTTACACATGAGCTGTCACCACGGACACCACACAACTTGGAAAAGAAACTCAGCTATTCTAATTGCTCACCTGAAATGATCTTGAACAAAATTTCTAACAGTGTGGTTTGCACTTTTTCTTCAGACATAGTCTGCCTCATTTTATAGTCTAAGCAGGCAATCCTACTGGAACTGAGCAGGGGCAAGGCATCGTGTTTCTTACATGCAGAACATGGAGTTTTTCGATTTGGTTCCATCAACTCCCATGTGCTTCGGGGCCATGAGAGTGAGAGCTCCTTCACAGACAAGGGTGCCGTCTCCGACGTATCATCGGCAGCCTTCAAGGGGTCCTGTTGAGGCATCGAGACTGCTGTCTGTGTCTGAGGCCAGGGTGTGCTCAGTGGACATGGATGAGATGTCGTTGATGGATGACGACTGAGAAGGAGTGGCCTTGCTACTTACTGCTGCATCTGTGCTAAGAAAACCAAACAGAATAAAATCTGAGGCACGGCATCCTGCACGCCAGGCACAGGGCTTCAGGCTACTTCTCCACTCTGTGCTTTGCAGTTTCTTGATCCTAACGATCAACAGAACCAAGAAACTGGTCAACTATACTTTGAACTTCCGGGATTTTTCCTTGATTCCTTCTTTGGTTCAGTTTCCAAACAATCTTGGGCTTTCTCTACATACTGTCTTTTTCTTTTTCTGAGGGCAATGTATATGTGGTCATGTATGACCATGTTGATTACTTAAAAGATATACCCGCTGACTTCAAACAGACCTTAAAAAGAAATTGATAAATTTATCCTACAATTGCAAGAGGGCTTAGGCCTTAGTAGGATTCAAGTGTCACAGGACATTTCATTTTCAATAGACACACCTCGTCTATAGAAAAAAAGCATCAGGATTCAAATAAATATTTTGTGATAGAAGAGTTTTCTGAAATACATTCCCAAAAAGGAAAACGTTTAGCACCTGCTGTAAGTTTTATTTTTGTTTAATGACTCTAGAAACTGTTATTTTAATTTCAAAGGTAAATCAGCAATCTCCTACTTTCTACTAGCCATGTGTTAGTGTGGCCTGAGCAAAAATAAAACATGCAGGATCTTAGGTCTGCACTGACGTCCTTAATTTTCTAAACTGGATGACACCAGAGCAAAGAAGGCCACACATTTTGAAAAGTCTTCAAATCTAATCTCTTCGTGTCTAAACAGAGCTGACAGCAGCTGTTACAAGGTCACAACAGGAATGTTTCAGATGCAGTTTAGGGCACCTCAGAAACCATGAGTGCAAAGTCACTGCCACCAGCATCAGGACAAGCCAGAAGGTATCTATGTCATACCAGGGTGGCCCAAGTGGCATTAACACATCACTACCATTGAATAGACAAAGAAAATGTTAGATGACAAAACAGACAAAATTGAAGCAATCACCAACCTGAAGGCTGGTCCTTTACTCCATTCTTGCTTCTTTCTTCCCAGTCCATCACTTCTTTGTAAATTAGTTCTTCAAAAAGAAACAGAAGTCAAGATGTGTTGCCATTTGCCCTGCACTGAGCTCTGCCTCCAGAGCTCCTCCCTGGAGCCACCCCAGGTACCGGGATGTCTCAACTTCCTGTGGCTACCACATACGTTATTAGGGGCTCACATTAGCATACTGTAAGCACTGCCATGAGTGTGTGCATGTTTGGGCCACCAGCATGCCAGTCAGGGAAATCTACGATCAATGTTGACCTGTGCTGACTGTGGCTCTTAGTTACCAATGACCCTGCTTCTGAATGAAAACCTCAAGTTTTGCCTCCTTGTTAACCAGCTTAGTTCACTGTGGTTCATCTTAAAGTGCTAGTAATGTTTTCTTGTCTATTTTTGGAAACTTCCTCCAAACTAGATATTAAAACATACAAACTACATAGCTTAATATACATAGACAATCACATGCCCCATATCTGGGGTCCCCATATCTGCTTAGACAGGAATATTTGCAGGGAATATGTGGCCTATACCCTGGGTTTGCTCCACAAACTCCCAGGCTACCAAGAAGTGTGACACACTGACATCAAGCTACACATCAGCAAGGGAGGATGGAAACATGGAAACTCCATGTGTCTCAACCGAAGCAAACTATGGTGTCACATATATTCCACTCTAAAACTGCTAGTGTCACAGTATTCCTCAGTTGAGAGGTGGGAAGAGAGGACAATGGGGCTTCTAGGTCTCAAGGTCCTGCCCAAGAGGCTAGTATCAAAAAGGAGTAAAAAACATGTTCTGTAGGACTGTAGAAGCATTTTCTTTTTCTTTCTTTCTTTCTTTTTTTTTTTTTTTTTTTGGCTTTTTGAGACAGGGTTTCTCTGTGTAGTCTTGGTTGTCCTAGACTTCTTTGTAGACCAGGCTGGCCTTGAACTCACAGCAATCCTCCTGCCTCTGCTTCTCTGAGTGCTGGGATTAAAGGTGTGTACCACTGCACCTGGTGAGGACTGTGGGCATGTTACAAGTAAGGATCAAAACACGCTGCCCTTACCTTTCCACTCTTCAATTGCATGCTCTCTTTCTTCCAACTGGGCATCATAAATTTGCGGTGGTGGCTGAAAATTAAATGACATGTCAGTAGATAGATAGCTTAAAACCAATGGGGCATGGTAGGAAAATAATACTACTTAGAATGTTTTCAAGTCTACTTATAACATAGATTTAGTTTAATTAACATATTCTAAAAATTTTTGTTGTAAGTATATTTTATCAGTTTAAAAAATCAAAACAATTATAGAAAGTTAACTAAAGCAATCAATAATAATGTAATAAACCTCAATAATCTCATAACCTCAAAATGTTCTGCAGACATTGGCCAAATTAAATTACAAAATTAATAAGCATAGGCAGCTCTGAGTTTCCCAGGGAAAAGGCTGTGTGGGAGCTGAGAGAGGCATGGCACTTTCTTAGAACACACTTCCAGTTGACAATTAATTCTTTATGACAGGACACCCATGTCCAAGCCACAAGCTCATGAATGGAACAGTCTATAACTTGGCTGCTCATACATATAATTCTTCTGATATAACATAATGTCAAAATGGCAGTGAAGTCTTTACCCAGGACACAACAGTGTGTTCCATAGCTGGCATGAGTAAATGCCCCACCGTTTTACTATTTTACTCATACCGAAAGATCATTCACACAAGGAATGCCATGAAAACACTTTTAAAAGGACAAGACACCTAGATGTGGTAGGGAAGTGTGAGCTAATGTGTCACTTGGGAAGGCCTCTCTGATTCGAGGTTCTGAGTAAGATGTAAGCAAAGCCCATGACACAGGGCCAGGCATGAAGCAGCTGCTTTGTAGATTATTTTTACATGTCAGCTTTATAGACTAGGGCCACTTGTATCCCCACAGCCCACTCATGTACACTCCTGAGTTTTCTGCAGCAAGTGTCCCCAAGAGTGCTGACTTAGGCTCTAAAGTCAATAACCTGCTACCTTCATGTAGCCATTCTAGTCTAACAGACAGCAGATCCAATCACAGTGGCCCCTTCACACAGACATCTTCTCCAAAGAGACACTTACTGCTTCTGCTTCAGCGGGGTCATACCAAACAGTGATATACGGGTGACGCAAGGCTTCGTCCACAGAGATCCGCTTGTCTGGATCAATCACTAACATTTTCGATAACAGATCTCTAGCTTGACTTGCTAGGGTATAAACAAATGATATACTTATATTGCTACTGTGGAAAAGAGGAAATCACACAATAGACAACCAAATGTAAGAGTGTAGAGGGTGAAGAGACATGCTGACTTCAGGGAATGTTTAAGGTGTTCAAGATCAACACAGCTCACAACCTTTAGAAGTCCAATGGCCACTATTACGTACCAGGCTTCTAGCATGTGAGGTGGGGCACCAGCCTCAGACCAGTGTCCAGATGACATGACGCTATGAAGCCACAGTAAAATAGGTGGGAAGCACCTCTCTTAGGATGCTTGCCAGGAATGTAGACACGGGAGTACCAGAGTGGTTTTCTGCTTGTGTCACATTAGAACAATTTAAAAGCCTTTAGATTAACCCACGGTCCCAGAGTACAGCCTCACAGGCACCACTGCTTTGCCTAGCTGTATACCATGCTTTTGTTTTTAATCTAGCAGTTAGTAGCCAGAAAAAACAAACAAGCCACAAGCTCAATAACTAACTTAAGAAGGCTCAGTGATGTCTCAGCAATGAAAAGTTCACAACATATACATACAGCCAAGGAAGGCTGGGACTTCTGTGACCAAGGTGCTTCTCACTCTGAGGTAGAGGACAGCAAAGCTATTGTTTTTCCTCAGGCAATCACATTCTAGGAAGGTCATAGAAGGGGAGCGAGAGTCTTTCCCACTGGGCCACACTCAATGGCTTCTATCTAGAATTTTTACTGAAGTGTTCTTTATGTTGGAAAATGTTTTGAATTTGGATTGGTGGTGATATGAATCACTGTGTGTGTGTGCATGAGCACATGGTACATGCATGAGTGTTTGAGTGTGTGCAAACCATGTACTCTGAGTCTAGGAGGAAGCTGGGTGTTCTCCTCTCTTGCTCTCTCTTATTCCTTTCGGACAGGGTCTTTCCCTGAAGTGGAGGCTCTTGGTTCTGCTAGACTGGCTGAGCAGTAAGCTTCCAGGATCCACCTGTCTCAACTCCAGTGTGGGTTCCAGGCACAGACAGCCATGCCTGTGGTTTTTGTGTGATGCCAGGGACACAACTCAAAGTCCTCATCCTTGCAAAGCAGATGTGAAAATGCCCCTGAGGCATTTCCCTACCCCATAACCTAAGGGTTCCCAGACTGATGTGGACGTTTTCATTTTGGCCAAAGGTTTCAGTTACACTGTTTCAGCAAGGTCAAGACTCTTGACCTTAAGCTTTCCACCTGAGGTGTGTTTGAATGTCAGACTGTTAAAAGACTCTATTTTGCGCTTTCCATACCTGCATCTTCTAATATACATGGGTTTTAAAGTTCAAACATTAGAGAAACAATTGTAGAATAAAAAGATGTCTTACTTTTAATTTTGTCTCGCTCAGATTCTGATGGAAATATCCAATCTGGAAAGAGCTCTTCAAATTTGATTCCAGGGTACTTTGGTCTGTTTTCCACATAATTCCTCACTGTTGGCTGAAGTTTCTTCATGAACTCTGCGGATGGTGTTCCTAGCTGTTCAATAACTTTATTCCATTGATCAATATCTAAGGATTCTCTTGAGGAAAATACAACTGAAATGCTTCATAGTCATTATACATATAATGACTTTACTAGCATGCAAAGGAAAATTATATTTGTATCTATGGACAAATAAGTAACTAGGCTAGTCCACAGGATCATCAAAACCATTTTGGGATAATATTTAAATACTTTTAGGTTTCTAAATTACATAATGAAAGCTTTTATACTCTGATCATGGCTCATTAAATCAACATAATCTATATGTATTCCTATTAGAATTCAAAATAAAATTGTGACAGAAATGATTCAACCTATGAGATAAATGATTAAATATGAAATAAATAAATAGCACATAAGCAAACTGAAATAAATGTTCATACTAATGCTATCTTAGACTCACAGGTCTGTAAAGGGGAGAAGAGCTCGAGAGCCCCATCTGTCCTCTCTCAGAGCTGGGCAGCAGAGCCTGTGAGACAGGCTAACCATGGGGAACATGGAGAGGGAGGGTCAGAGGCCCTGGCTCTGGCCTATCCCACAGACCACACTCTCTACTGAAACTGCCTTAGACAATGATGCTTTCAGAGGCCATTCTGTTTCTCTTGGCACCAGCCATCCCTCAGTGTCTAGTAATGTGTTTTTCCCTTTCAAAGTGTATGACCTGGGGTTCAGAATCACCATGGGCTGCCCGCTCAAGGAGCTGGAGTCAGTCCTCCTCAGGAGTCCTCCCTATTTGCACACTGCAGATGACACCAGCTTTGCCTATCTCTCAGGGTACTTGTTAGGCTTAGGATGACTGGGACAATGGCTGTGGAAAGGGACACTGAAGCTGTAGACAGGTACACAAGACAATGCAAGCTATGAGATGACATAAGCAGGAGATTGGAAAGTGACAGGCTTTCTCAGAACATGCACTTATACCATTGGGAAAGCAATACCTAGGGCCAGTCATACACACTCAGTTCTTCAGAATGTTAATTTGGAAGACCTGCTCATGAAATGGGTAGAGAAGCAAATCCTCTTTCTTCTCTTCTCCTTGCATGCACTTTGGCAAATCAGAATTATGCATACATTTTATTTAACTGCTTTTGCAAAATAGGAAACCTGGCTCATATTTATCCCTCTCTCCTTATACTTTTAACACCTCTTCCTCATGCTTGTTCCTCACTGGGAAGACTAATCATAAGAATGATGTGATGTCCCCACCCCCATATCTCCATGTCACTTACCACTGGGAACCATCTGGGCTCCTGGCTAAAAGCCAATCCCACCTACCTTACCCTCTCATCCTCTGAAGGATGAGTACCTCTTATTCTTATTTCTTGCTGCTCCATACCCAATTGATCCCTCCTGGAACCTTCTGTTACCATGCAAACATGATGCTCACTTCCACATTAACAGCAACCACTTTCCTTGACACCCTACCCCTGCTTACTGAAAGCGGCATCTCTAATTCCTATCCCCTGGTCCTCTCCTGAACATACTCTCCTCAGGCCTCCCTCCTCAGTCATCTTGACAACTGTTTCCATTAAGATTGCCGGGGCAACCACTGACCCCACCGGTCAGTTCTGAGTCCTTTATTCCTTTTCCTTAGTCCCTGATCCTTTGCTCATCTCTTCAATGCTTAGTACCAGCTCCAGGTTTCAATGCTATCAACAGACCAATGGTTTCCACATTTTCTTTATTCCAAATCTTTCCCTTGAATTAAACACTTGATAGATTAGCTATTCCAAATCCACAAAGTCATTTGAAGGTTAGACCCTCAAAGCAAATGTAGACTCCAGGCCCAATCCTGCTGTCAGTCCACCTCTACCATCTCTTTCTGGGTGACTCACAGCTTCTGCCATGTCTCCTGCTTCTACTGTCCTAGAAAATTTACCTTCAAGTCACTTTGTCAATGAGCCTTTTACACCCTCACTTGGATGAGGCGCCTAGAAATGGACAGGTGCGCTCTCTCTCTCTCTCCACACACACATATATATCTGGATTAGTGCTACAGGGTCATTTTGATAGATGACAGGGAGGTGGCATAGGGTGCAGGGGCTTACCTGGGAGAGCATGGTGGGCCTTCTGGGTGGGCAGAACACAGGCCTTTCATTTAAAAAGAGGGGGAGGGAGCATAGCCCAGAGATACCTGACTCTCTAGGATGCACAGCTGCCATCAAAGCCATCTGAGCTTGGGCTTAGCCTGGCTCAAGTGTTTTCTTTCCCACAAGCCACTGTGAGGACAGCAGTTACTTTTCTATCGAGATCATATGCAAACCTCTTAAGAACCTTAACCTTTCTATAAATTGCCCAATTTTCAATCTATTCTTTGAAAATGTAAGCAAAAATTTTTTTTAGAAAATGTTAATTTTCACGTGACTTTAAAGCACTTTAGGTGACCTTTTATATAAAACATCAACTATTGCTATTGTAACGTGTTAATATATACAGTATTCAAAATTATAATGTAAAATTACTAAAGTGTATCAAAAGTACATATATTTTTTCATTTCTTTTTACTTTTTAGAAAAAGTAATTCCTTTTTTTAATTTTTATTTTATGTGCATTAGTGTGAAGGTGTCAGATCCCTTGGAACTGGCATTACAGAGCTGCCATGTGGGTGCTGAGAATTGAACCTGGGTCCTTTGCAAGAGCAGACAGCGCTCTTAACCACTGAGCCATCTCTCCAGCCCCAGAAAAAGTAATTCTTAATAAGTAAAAAATTGTAGAACACAAATAAGAATCGGTACAAAAATAATCTTAGCTGACTTTATAGTCCATTGCCTCAAGCACTCGCCACAAGTCCATGTGGTGTTCCAAGTCACTGGCCTCAACTCTCCCTTTAGTTGATTTTACTTGGAAAATAAAGACTTCCTTATTCATAACTTAAAACAAGTAAATCCAAGGTAAAGGTATGGAAAAAAGCCAGAGAAATTATTAAAACAAAATAAAATGCCTTATTTAACTGCCTATTTTGCAACTTATGAGGAACATGTGAAGGGATGAGTGGAATGAAATATATCCATTTTAAGCTCATGTCGTGAGGAATTCCTATTTTTAAAAAGTTGTCTTCCTGAGGTTATAAACACTAAAGCACTTTTTGTGATATACACACATTACCAACTCTGACTAACGCCTGGTTTCCCTGGAACCATAGGTCTGCTACCAGACAGAGGTCACCGTAAGCTTCCATAATGACAACAGCAGCAACAACAACAGAAACATCAAAGAGCAATGAAAGCATGAGGGGTTAGAACACAAATGGAAAGCATGAAGCAGTGTGTTAGTGTAAAGACTGCGAAAGACGGAGGAGCGCACAGGGGGCAAAGCTAGCACCGCTGTGCTGTCTGCCCCCTTTCAAAGCCTCCGTGCTGACGGGACTTGCCTACCACAGTATGAGTCATGTTCTATGTTTAAATCTACCTTCCCCAGTGTGTCACAGATACCCTTCTCCTGGAGTCTTTAGAAATGTCTATAAAATGTCAACAAAATAACAAATGAGAAAGTGTAGTATGTTGCTCCTGACACAATATTCATCCAACTGCTTCACTTAAGTCTAAATAGTCTGCTGCAGCTCATACCAGTAACTAACAGAATCATGCATGAATTAAATCACACATGCATGTTAGCCTATTAAATTTAGATTGCACCTAGTGAATTAATGGAATAAACTAATTTATAAAAATAGAATTTCCACTTAAATACCAGGGTATATTTATCAGATATAATTTTACACATCCAGCTATTTCTGATAAAAGAGCTAATATAACTGGTTTAGCTTAACTCTAAGCCTCTATTGTCACAGGTATTTGAACAAAAAAAAAAAGAAAGAAAGAAAGAAAAAAGTGAACCTCTTGGTCTGTGACACTAATTTAACAAGTGTGATGAAGGCCCCCTGAGAACACAGTCTGCATCCCAATAGTTCCTTCAAGCATTCAGTAAGTAGGCGCAATCATGTGCCCTTGGCGTGGAGATCATGGCCAGGGTCAAGGTCCTGGGGAAGGATACGGTCAGTGCCTTGGAATATCACACAACCTTTCACCAGCTCTCCCATGATGCAACCCACTGACCAGATATCAACTGAAAATAAAATGAAATGATAAAATTATGAAGTGTCATGAATAAAACAAAAGTGAGGAAAAGGAATTCTAACATTGTACTAGACACACAGACATGGAAAAAACTCAGTGGCTAGCTAAGGGTGAACATTTTACACAATATGAATGATTGCTGACCTCCACTTCAGCCTTCAGTTTGCAGCAATCTGTGGTTTTAGGGCCAAAGAGTCCAATACTTTACAGCTTAAAAAAAAAAAAAAAAAAAAAAAGCAACAAACAAAAAAACCAAACACAGAAAGTGCTAATGAACATGAAATTCTCAGGCCTACCCCCCCCCCCTCACTCCCCGCCCCCAGCCTCCATGGCCGAGTGCTGGGTCTCTCCCTGTGAAGGATACAGTCTCTTCCTGGGAACAGGACTTTATGGAGGACCATCTCTGCCATGATGCACCCGACAGACCAGATGTCCACTACCAAATATTAGCTGATTAAAACACAGCCAGAGAGCCTTGCATCTCTGTTTCTAAACCACCTCCCAAACACCGGCAGCCCCACCTAACACTCTTTGGGTGGAGCTTCTGCAAATTCCTGACGCCACACCTGAGTGACCACCTTTTAAATTGCCAACTCAGAAATGGCGGGCGCAGCCAATAAGCAAGGCCTGGACTCTGGGCAAGGCCCTGCTTAAGCATGACCCTGTGGTATCTGTCTCCTTGGGTGGGGTCAAACATGGAGCCTGGCTGCATCTCATGCCTCAGAAAGGGAGGGAGAGCTAGCCCCAGGCAGCTGCTGGAAGGCACTGTGCCTCTCAGAGCAGGCTACAAAGCATCTTCCAAAAGTCACAGTCAAACTCATCTCAAAAGACTTCAGCAAACTTCCGCTGCTGTTCTTTCCTTTACTCTTATAACCAAATAAATTTGTTAAAAGCTAAAGTTTAGCTTATATTTAGTTGACACTGCTAGAACAAGTGAAGTTTTTTTAATATATTTCATTATTTATTTACTGTATATGAGTGCTCTATCTGCACGTCCACCTGCATGGCAGAAGAGGACATCAGATCCCAGTATAGATGGTTGTGGGGCACCATGTGATTGCCAGGAACGGAACTCAGGATCTCTGGAAGAGCAGACAGTGCTCTTAACCTCTGAGCCCTCTCTCCAGCCCCCATGAAGTTTTGATGTAAAAAAAAAAAAAAGTTTTACATGAAAGAAAAACGGTGCATTATTCCATTCATATTAAATTTTTTAAAGGGTAGTGAAACCAGCCACAGTGTTGGCCACCAGGGTAATGACAGCAGCAGCTAGGCCCAGGCTGCAGGCTCTATGGGTGTGCCCACCGACAGCTGCCCTCTCAGCACTGCGTTCCTGTGAACACTGATCAAAAATGAAAGGTTTTAGCTGGGCATGGCAATGCACCCCTATAATCCCAGCACTTGGGAAATCAGAGGCAGGTGGATCTCTGGGAGTTCCAGGCCAGCCTGGTCTACAAAGTGTGTCTAGAACAGCCAAGGCTACACAAAGAAACCCTGTTGCAAAAAAAAAAAAAAGAGAGAGAAAGAAAAGAAAGAGAAGTTTTGAGTCTAACATTGTATCACCCGCATTTGGGAGGCAGAGGCAGGCAGAACTCTATAAGTTTCAGGACAGCGAGGGTTGGAAAAAAAAAATAACTGGAAATACAAGAGAAATGATTTCTCATCTGTGAATTACAGGCATCTGTATGCGGCACGGTGCTCAGACTGTCTCCCATGGTCCTTAAGGAAGGACCTGCCAGTGCCGAGAGCAGCTGCTTTACTCGTCGGCGCCTGTGGCTGCCTGTACTTACCGTTCTCCTTGTAGCCCATGCCCAGGATGACCTCTGGGGCCCGGTAGTAGCGAGTCACCACATAGGGGGTCATCATGAAGTTGGTACAGGCGGTCCGTGCCAGGCCAAAGTCAAGAATCTTGAGGGTACAGTCGGATTTTACTACAATGTTGCTAGGCTTCAAATCCTAAAAGAGAAATTGTTTTCATATTTAAATAAATCACAGCATGTTAAATACATACTGGCATGGAGTTGTGAGGTCAGCAGCTACTGAAGCGTGTGAGGACAGGAAGGAGGGCAGATAGAATCGTGTCATGGGCATGGAGACACCTCCAAACAAGTCCTGTGGCCTTTCACTACCTCTTGCTTCTCTGCTCAAAACCCAAGAGCCTACAAGTCTCTTATGGAATGACATTTGCATATAACCTGCACACAGCCTCTGGGATCCTCTAACTCATATCTAGATGGTTACAATACCTAAAACAAGGCTATTGTTTAGGGGATGATTACACCCAAAAGGTTTGTCTGTATTCAGTACAGCTGAAATTTTTGTTTTCCAAATACTTTTGATCTGCAGCCAGTTAAACCCATGGACATAAAGCTCAACAGTAGGAAGGTACTTTACTGCCCAGCAAGCCTTGGCATCTAGAACCAATAGCATGGTCATGTGGGAAAGGATGGTTGCAGCAGCACTGCTTCTAACTAAGACAGATGTAGCCCTGGAAACTACTCGACAGCCTTCATCTGTCAAATGCGCCCTACAGAATGGGAAAACAGGCTTTACCTAAAAACTGTAGAAATGGGCACCGCTTCTACTCTATTGCCATCTGCTGGACAACTAGGATAATAAGAACACAGCTCTGGATACCTGCCTGCACACCTGGTGCTCTGTACAAGGGTCATCCCAGGATTGTGAGAGGCAGCTCATGTCTGCCCAAGAAGTGAGTAGAGGTCATTTAGGTTCCTAGAGTCCCACGGACTCTCCCCAATCAGCCTTCATAATACAAACAGAGTCAGCATTTAACCATCGGTGACTGAAGATTCCCTTTCAGTGCCAAGATGGCAGAATCAAGACAGTTCTGCCGCTTCACATCTCTTCAAATCTCCAAAACACAGAAAACAAGGAACACAAGTAAAGACACGATGACAGCTGACCTACAGAGTGGAAATGGTTACCACACATGGCAGCCATGGGGGTGGCCAAAAGCTACCTCAAAATAGGCAAGAACTGAAAATCCAGGTGCATGTGCCTCCCTGATTAAATTACCACTATGTGAATCCCAGATCCAAAACCACTTAAGAGCTGTCCTAGGAAGGAGGGGCCTACACATCGTGACAAGTGGCTACTGTCTAGATTTCTCTGGCCCTTGCTCATAGGTAACAAAACCATTTTTCTTCCATGTGGCTGCACAGTGGGGAAGGAGAATTGAAACTCTGACAGTGACTGAAGACAGATTCTGAGTGCATGCTGAGCTGGAAGAGCCAAAGCGTCACCAGGCCTCCTCCAATTGGGGGAGTTTAGTGAAAGCCAGATGGCAAATAGAGTCTGATCAAATCCTCTCAAGGTTATGGTGAAGATGGAGAGATAACACAGACCTGAGAAAACTGCAAGAGAAAATCTCCACCTGCTCCATACAAGTGTGAATGGTTTCCCAGCCTGCTTTTGCATGCATCTGCACAATCAACATGTCAGTCTCAAGCCCACACTACTCTGCTTTACCATCTACACCAAGCTAGTAACTGCAACCAGATGTGGTGGTCACAGCCATGCTCCAGGATCCATGTACTGTCTTCAAGGACTGGAGAAGAGAGTTAAACTGAGTCGTATGAGGGGCCCATTTCTGCACCCCTGAGATTTTAATGGTGGTATTACCGCTGTCTATCTCTACATCCATAGTGTGCAGGGTTGCTCTGGAGCTATGTGCAGGGGAGGCAGCTTCAGCTTTCCCATCTTCATGGCTCTTACCTCACAGACCAACAAACTAATGTGCAGGTTACTTGTGCTTAGGGACAAAGATGAGCAGGCATTTGCGTAAAACATTGCACACGACAGGGCAGGGCTAAACCTACTAAAAGGGCCATGTGCTCACCTTAGTAGGAAAATGTCCACATCAAGGCAAAGGACAAAGAAATTGTTTTAAGTTTCCAAAGATGCAAAGGAGCAGTAAAAATACAGTCTAGAAAGCTCTGGGTGTACTTACAGCACTCACTGTGGTGGGTACCATGTCCACTACCACATATGACTGATATGTAACTAGGAACTCCACACCCACCCACACTATTAACCATGTGACAGGAAAAATCTGCAGCCTTATTCTCCCTTGTATACTTTTTTTATTTGTGTGTGTCTGAGTGTGAGCATGTGTGTGAGTGTGAGAGCGTATGAGCATGTGTTTGTGTGTGAGCATGTGTGTGTGTATGAATGTATATGAGAGCATGTATGAGTGTGTGTGTGTGTGAGCATGTGTGTGTATACACATGTCATAGCACACAAGTAGAAGTCAGAGGTAAATATAAAGGAGCCAGTTCTCTCCTGCCACGTGTGTCTCAGAGGACTGAAGTTGGGTCATCAGACTTGGTGGCAGGCACCTATACCTACTGAACCGTCTTGATGCTCCCCACATACTATTTTTAAGCTTTAATTGGAAGACATAGTTCACCCAAACAAGGGAGTAACAGAGAGAAAGAGACAGTGAGGGCCAGGAAGCAGGGAATCCAACGTAGAAGGGAAGGGAAGAAAAGTGTTAGGGGAGACTTAGGGTCCCCCTTGCATTAGGTATTTGGGCAGCAGTCCAGAAGTGAACAAGCCTGAAGATGATCTGGGTACATTTGACAGTGTGGTAGAAAAAGGTTAGAGCAGTAGCAAGAACACAGTCTCAGGCTGGAGAGATGGCTCAGAGATGGTAAAATGCCTGTTGGGCAAGCATGAGTTCCTTGGTTGATCCATTAGCACCCATGTGAAAAGCTGGATATAACAGTGCATACCTGTAACCCAATGCTCGGAAGAGAGAGACAGAGAGCCTCTGTGCTCAGCCCAGTGGGAGACTGTCTCAAAAATCAAGATGGGCATCTCCTGAGGAATCATACCCCAGGCTGAGCTCTGAGCACCTACATGCACACATATGTGCATCCACAAACACATAAACACGAATAACACAATGACACATATAACACATATGGTCCTAATCCCCCTTAAAACAGACACACAACTCAGACAAACAGAATAAGGACAACTTCAGGAACAAGATATCAAAGGGAAAAGAAATATAATCAGAATGTTAATGTAAGGTTCAGCTATGAAAACTATTACATAGTTATGATGATATAAAACACAGCACTGACCCAAACAGAGCGACGTTATAACTGAACTGGGAGAGTGGGGCAAGAGAGGGTCACAGGGATAAGGGCTGGGTTTGTGGATAAGGAATACGTCAGTATCTTATGTCCCAAACTAAAGTATAAGTGAGATCTAAACACAACGCCCTGGGATATGGAAATGAACACTAAAGTAGTTCATTAAAAGAACCAAAAGCCAGGCTGGTGACATAGCTCAGTGGTGGTGTGCTGGCCGAGCATGCAAACAAAAAAAAGGAAAAAAAAAAAAAAAAAAAAAAAGGAAAAAAAAAACCCCAAACAAACAACAGTAACAACAAAACTGACTTTAAAGTTTGCTTCTAGAGGGATTAGAGTTTTCATAAATATTTATGTAACTCTTTGATCCTTGATGTAAGTACAAATGCAAATCAACCAATTTGTTCAGCGAGTTACACGGTTCTGTCAAGAGGATTCCAGCTTTGAAAACAGACACAAGGAAGGACAGACACACGTGCAGACAGGCGGGCGCTGGCACAGGTGAACAGAGAAGCACCTGTGCAAAGCTGGAAGATGTGTAGCCGACTGTTACAGTGGGCCATCTCAGGTGGCTGCAGGCCAGCAGGAGGCGTTCAGTTTCTCCAATCTTGGGAATTATATAAAGCAAAAGTGATAAGGGTGAGGGATAAAACTTCACCTTTTGTCCTGTTTCACTCTAAAAACTTTCAAATAATTAAAATTTTTGTTTATTGTGAAACCATTTTTTTTTTTTCGAGACAGAGTCTTGCCTTGCTGTGTTAACATTCTGAGTTCTTGGATTAGAGGTGTGTGACAACTTGCTTGAACAGCAAGACTGAAGGTGTGTGCCTCCGTGAGCGGTGCCGCTTAGAAGAAGGGAGAAAGACTGCTGACTGGCACACAGGGCCTAAGTCAGTGGTGGCCAACTAGGAGCTGTGGCCCCTCACGCAGAGAGGCCTGCCATCTAGTTTGATGTACCTGTGTGTCGTCTGAACTGTCTCCTTAATATCAGCTCATACCTTTCCCAAGCAGACACAGGTGTGAGTGTGAGGCAGGCGTGTGCGAGGGACCCAGAAGGAGCTGGTAAGCATGGTGGAGTGCCTGGCAGGGAGCAGGGTGGACACACGCTTTCTCAGGTCACCATGGATTCTAAACCCTGCTGAGCAAAGCACACACTTCTCCGGGCTCTAGTCTACCTGCCTGTAGGCAAGAGTGCAGTCCTCAGGCGAAAGGACCAAACACTCCACAACATGCAAGCACATGCCACAGTTTCATGAAGTTTCTAGGAACAAGGGACATTCTCCTGCCCTCACCTCTAGCTTCAGTGTGAAGAAACAAGTAAAAACAAAACAAACAAACAAAAAACATTTCCCCTTCAAAAATTAATAGAGCTTGTGAATCTGGAAAATTATCATAAAGCATACATTTCATTAAATGTGTATTTATAGGGCTGAGGACCATAGCTCGGTAGCAAAGCACTGCCTCATATAGACAGGATCCCAGGTTCCGTCCTCAGCACCACACAAAAGGCAGTGTGTTTAAGAGACATTAAGAATGCTTTGGGGAAGAGAAATGGGTGGAGAGGTGGCTCAGTGGTTAAGGGCACTTGCTGCTCTTCCAGAGGACCATATTTCGGTTCCCACTGCTCACATGGCAGCCCGGAACCATGTGTAACTCTATTTCCAGGAAGCTGATGCCTTTTCTTGGCCTCCACCCATGCATGTGGTACACATACATGAATACAGACAAAACAGCCATACATACACAATAAAAGTAAATACACTTGGGAAAAAAAGCCTTCTGTAGGAGGGAAGGAAACAGTATTTCATAAACATCATATTGTTGATGGAAAATTCAGTATCTTAAAATAAAACTAAAAAGTATGTCTTAGTTATTTAGAGATCTGGGGATTTTTTCTAGAAATAGAATTTTTCATTATGAATCTTTCAGATACTATTTTAAAAGTAAACTAGCCATCAGAATGTTGGTCACTTGAAACGACCACTTGGTGGCAGCATGGGCCTGCACAAGGGACTGAAATGCTGAAACCCAACACCAGCCTTTGGATACAGTATGGAGAAAGAATCAGGTCTTGGGCATTCGAGGACAGGAATGGGGGTACACCTGGGAAGCCTTGGCTCAGTGACTTGTACTAGACCCAAACTTTCTTGGCACCTAACTGATGAGAAAGAATTCTGCCCAATTCCCTGTATCAACAGGCTTCACTGTATCTCAGTGCTCTTTACTGTAGAAGGAAACTTCTCACTGTTGAAGCAAAAACTCCACAAACAATCAGCATAGAAGCAAATCAGAGAAAGCTGTGATGTTCCCAGTAAAGTCAATTATATTTAACAATGTGTGTGTGTGTGTGTGTGTGTGTGTGTGTGTGTGTGTCTGTCTGTCTGTCTCCTTAGAGACCAGAAGTGGGCATCAGATCCTCTAGAGCAGTTATTAACTGTCTGACCTGGGTTCTGAGAACTGAACTCAGATCCTCTGGAGGAGCAGCCAAGTCCTCTTAGCCTCTGAGTTATATCTCCAGCACTGGCTACTGTATCATGGTGCTCTGTGTATATAGCAGCACAGATTTAAAACCTGAACCTTTAGGAAAGCAGCTCAGAATGTCAACCACATTACCTGGCCCTGGTCTTTACATTTCAAGTCCTGACAGTAACAACACCATGATGTTCCTTGGCCACTGGCTTTCTCCTGCACCAAATCTAATTTCCTTGCTCATTAAAAAGGAAGTTTCAAATATGGCAAGAATATTAACAATGGTTCAACTTGGGGTCATTGATATTTTGGAGTTTTTGTAATTTTTCTCCAAGTTTTAAGTTACAGCAAAGTAAAATGCTAAAACTCTTCAGTTTTAGGCTTCTACAAAGTGGCTGGATGATGGTGGTGCATGCCTTTAATCCCAGCACTTGGGAGGCAGAGACAGAAGGATTGCTGTGAGTTTGAGGCCAGCTTGATCTACAGAGTGAGTTCCAGGATAGCTAGGGCTACACACAAAGTGAACAATTTAAAGAGAAAACCAAGATTTTTCTGTAGTGGGGTGGCTCCCATCTCTGTGTCTACAGTGGCTGAAGCGTTTGGGGCTTGGGCAAACACAGTTGACCTGAGCAGTGTGTTATATACAGTATGATTTTCAAAGTACCAAATGTATTAAAAAAGAGTAAGTTACTGGGGCTGGGGAGATGGAACAATGGGTCTAAGTGCTTGCTACACAAGCACGCGGAGTTCAAACCTCCAGTGCCCATGTGAAAATCCAGGTGTGGTTACACACCCAAATGTAAACCCAGTGTTGAGGGTTTGGGGTAATATGGAGTCTGGGGGATAACTGGGGCTTGCTGGCCAGGACCCTCCCTTCAGGTTCAGGTTCCTGGCTCAAGGGAATAAGGCCAAAACCGAACACCTGCTAATCTCCTCTGGCCTCTAAATACACATAGATAAGTGTGCACTCATGCACATGTACATATACCATACACACTCACACTCTCTCACACACAGAAATATTTTTCTTTGTAACTAGATGACTGACAAAGATGATTATTTTACTCTGTGATTACTTACTCTGTGAATTATACCAGCTGAATGCAGATGCTTAATGCCACAGAGCATCTGGTAGAGAAGGTATGACATTCTTTCATGGTCCAGCTCCATATGAATAACCTGACATAAGTTAGCATCCATTAATTCCATAACCAAGTACCTGAATAAGCAAAAGAGACCAACCACATTCATTAATGTTATTTTTAAAAATCCCTTCATGATTGTTAGATCACAGTTGTTAAGAAATGACAGTAATGAGATACAGATACTACACAGCTAAAATAAAAGCACTTTTAACAAATTATCTTGAAAAGAATCAAATGTATAACAGGGCTTTGTAAAATTTTCCAAAGAACACACAAACAACTGACTTACCCAATGTCTTTCTGTCTTTCAAATTATAAACAAAACAACTTTTTTTTTAAATCATGAAAACCATCTCAGACAAACTTTTCTACTTTCCTTTTTTTAACTGTGTCTGTCTGTCCATCCACCTGTGTAACCGCCTATCTTCTGCTTGGTCATCCTTTCAACAACTATGGCATGCTGCTATAGATTCTAGATCTTTAAAAATACATGGTTCTTTCTGCTGAGGCTGCTGCTGTGGAGGGTCTATGCAAGGGGAAAATGAGAACTCTGAACTTTCTGCTCAGGTTCATTATGTATTGGGACTGCTCTAAAAAGAAAATCTTCTGTTTGTTTTGTTTTGGTTATTTGAGACAGGGTCTCTCTGTGTAGCCCTAGCTGTCCTGGACCAAGCTGGCCTCTCCCCTGCCTTCTGAGTGCCGGATTAAAGGCATGTGCCACCACCGCTTAGTTGAAATCTATTTTTTTAAGGCTGAACTTACAAAACAAACAGAAAACTTTCACGCTTATGGCTCACCACTAGCAAACATTTTTGGCTCATGGTAAAAGCAGAGCCCCATTCCACCAAAGAGGTGGTTAAAGACACATCACCTCTAAATCTCCTCCCATTGTTTGTCATGCCATTCTGACCCAACCTATGCCAATTCTCTGCTAAAAGTGATGACTTCCACATTTGCAGAGACCCAAAGGCCAACGTTAAGAACTTGGCTGCATTCTGCACCTAACTTCCTGCTGGATCAGCTGTAATCAGATACCAGCTCTCCTCTCAAGACACTTTCTTGGTGATATCCAGTCTGCAGTGACTTGAAAGATTATTCCTTCATTCCTTTAGTCCAGGCCTCTCTCCTGAACCCAAGTTCTATCCTCTCTACTTACTTCACTGTTGCACTTGGATAGGCAATAATGTCTCTGAGTCCATGTCTAAAACTGTTTCACTGATTCTACCTGCTCACCATCCCAACCTAGTCCTCTCATAGCTCTCCCCACCTCAGCTGAGAGCCTTTCAATTCCTCTCTCACATCTAGCTACCAGCAGGTCCTGTGCCTCCACCTTCAAACAGCATTGGTGTCTAAGCTCACGCCTTCACCCATTACCCACCATCACCCATTACCCACCTGAACCTCTTAGACACAATTGCTGTGAATGCCTCCCCATACTAAGTAGGACTTTCTGTCCCTACCTCTCACAGTGGATTCTCAGCCCCAGAAGCAACTGTGCTTTTAAAATACGTCAGGTGTGATCCCTGCTCTTCTGGATCTCTCAGTCTGACTTCTTTTCCTGTCTGCACACTGCTTCTCTCTGCCCTGTCTGCTGACTTCATCCACACCGGCCTCTCGTAAGTAGCAGCACACACCAGCCATGCTCCACTGCTGCTCCCCTGCTCCAGCTAGTCCTTTTGTTTCAGTTCCTCCCCTAAGCCTTTCTCCTAAGGCCGCTGCCTCACCATGGTCTTTCCTTCGAGGAGGTGGCAACCTGACTGGGTCAAGGAATGCTGAGCTGCTAAAGCCTTATGTGAGGTGTGTCTTGGAGGGCGGTTATGATGTGGGTCTAAATGCACTAAGTAAGGAGGCATGTGCTCAATGTGTATGAACACTACCAGGCTAAGCAAGACCCAGGAAGATCAAATTAAAGAGAATGAAGGAATTTCTCCTCTGAGAGCTGAAACGGACTTTTCCCGTTTTTAGAAGCAGAATGCTAGGACTTATACAGCAGCAGCTTCCCGAGCTCTCGGGCTGTCAGCCTCACTGAAAGCTACACCGCTGGTGTCCTTGGTTCTGTGGCAGCACCCTAGGATTCGAGTTTGCAAATGGCCTACTGTAGTCTAAGCGTAAAAATCACTAACTCTCTAAATTTTCAATCTGATTCAAAAGATACTTACACATCTTGAAATTCTTCTAGAGTTTTTTGTGGTGTGAACACATTTAACAAGCTAATTATCTGAAAAGAGAAAATTAATTATACGTTAGTATGTCAGATGGATTATAAAAACTAGATTGAATACCAAAATATATTAAAGGTGGAAAAATGATTGCAGAACTCAACATTTATCATTTCTATGGTTGTCACCAAAGCACTCTAGTGCACAGTATTGGAAAACTTAACCATCAATTGAAAGTAAGATGTGCTGTTAATAGAATCACTTTCGAGCCCCTAGTAACCTAATCATTACTACAGAATTTAAATAAATATGAAAGATAAAAATAATGGCTAGAAAAGCACAAATTAAAGCACTGTGGTAACTGTGGAAACTTAAATACTATATGCAACTTTCTGAAGTTTTTAAATAGGAAGGCTAAGCTTGTACTTTAGGTCATGAAGATGAGGCCTCATGGCCTTCCCTTCCCTTGAGAGGCTGAGTAGCCAACCTCACTCCCTGCTCCTTGTGGCCTCCGAGCTTGCAAACCGTGTGTTTCAAGCACACACCCTCAGTCATCTCACATGAACAAGAGAAAGGTGAATTACTCATCACATAGATGGAGTAACCACCAAAAAGGGGAAGGAAACAGCATCTACCTTTCAGCCCTGGAGAACTGATCTCCAGGGGCTGAGAAGATGGCTAGGTGGGTAAAGGCATTTGTCACAAGCCTGCTGATGACTGACCTGAGCTGGATTCCAGGGTCCCACATGGTGCAAAAAGAGAACTGGTTAGGGTTTTCGGTTAGGGGTTGTGTTATGGGTTAGGGTCAGGTGTAAGGTTAGGCTTGAAGGTAATGTTAGGGTAAGGTTTAGACAGGGTTATGGTTATAGTTATGGTTAACCTGGGCTAGGGTCAGTGTCAGGGTTATGTTTAGACAGGATTATGGTTAGGATTAGGATTAGGGTTACTCAAGGTTAGAGTTAGGATCAGGGGTAGGGTTAGGGTCAAGTTAGGGTGATCCTGGTAGCTTGTCCTCTGACCTCCACAGTGGGCAGTGGCATTTCTCACCCCCCAATTAGAGGTAGTAAAGGATATTTTTAAATTTTATCAAAAAATGAATCTTTTTTTATAGTGTCTCTCATCATCAGTTAGTCTTCAGTCTGGTCACACTGCTAACATCAAAGCACAGAGAAGGATCACAGTAACTTACATTTTTATGGTTGACACACTTTAAGAGGACAAGTTCACGATAGGCTCTCTTTGCGTGTGTTTGGTTTTGAAAAGGACGGCTTAACTTCTTGACAGCAACATTTATCCCAAGAACTGTATCAAAAGCAGCACTATAATTAGGAAATATAATAAACAGCCTATTAAAATGGCTTTTGAAAATAGAAATGGAGAAATACACTTGATGTATTGTCTTTCAAAGTAAATAACAAGACAAGAAGAGATATTTCTGTTCTTCCCCAATCAAGCTTTATGTACATACGGAAAGAGAAGTTGCCAAGCTGGCAGGGCGAACTAACCCCTCCCCAGAGGCACCTCGCTTTTTAGCTACAGCTATGACAGGCTTCTGCAAGTCTTTCTACTTATGAGTTTCAGTTAGCTAAGGTTAGCAGGTTCAGAACCAGGTAATTTAATCCAAAGCATGTAACATTGGTCAAGAAATGAATTTTTCAGCTTAAACATGTCATGAAATTGAAAACTTCCATGTTATCACTGATTAAAATGTCAGTATATTTTGGAGTATTGTGGAAAAGCATGGTTGTGCTCATGGAAGGAATTTAATAAATCTAAGTTCTGACTGACTATGCTTTCCCAGGCCAAAGAATCTGAAAGGAAACAGAAGCCAAAGTCTTAACTCATGGTAAATTCCCAAGACACAAAATTCCAATGTAAGAGCTTACCATATATACAGTTTTGCAGGAAGTGATGCTTCCTTTTATAGCAAGGGTAAGATCTAAAGCTTCAGTTTCCCGCACTCACACCCCTTCATGGAAGTTAGTGTTAGTTTGTCTCTAAAGGTTGGATATGAAAAGTGGCTGGCACAGTGACACATTACAGGGTTTCAAGTCAGCAGTGCACAGTGCCACCTTCTAACGGCTCGGCTGGGGCTCAGAGCTGCGAAGCACAGCCTGCGAGCCCAGGCGTCACCTTCAACACGGCTTCTGTGAGTTTCTTCCCCCTGCTTCGTAAACGCTTAACTCTATTCCTTTCTGTTAATACTTTCTGGTCAACAACTCTAACTTAATTAGACCTGATTTTAACTTAAAGGCTGTCCACTGTAGAACTAGCTACAGAGAACCACTTCATTTATGACAAAAGATGCACATATAGACAAGTCATATGTATGCTCAAAGGCAAATCTGCTACTCATATGAGTACATGTGAAGAAAATCTATTGTGAAAGAAATCGTTAATGTACCCATGTGCATGTGTACACATGTATGTATGTATTTCTTAGATTCACCTCTCTGATCTCAAAAGATTCTGTCTGAATTTTCAAACACATGGAGTTATGACTGAGTTTAAGGGCACCACAGAATAACATGGTTTCTTCAGTTAGTAACATCATATACTGTGTTATTTATTTCTTTATTTTCTTTTTCTTCTTTGAGTCAGCATCTCTCAATGTAGTCCTGAAACTTGCTATATAAATCAGGGTAGCCTTGAACTCAGAGATCTGCCTGCTCCTGCCTCTGGAGTACTGGGATTAAAGGTGTGCACTGCCATACCCCGCTTATACTGTATTCTTTACAACTGCTAAGAGAGTGAAGTTAAGTGTTCTCACTGCAGGAAGCATATAAGACATGTGTATGTAAATTAGCTGAATTTAGCCATTTTATAATGTATATACATATATTGAAACTCTTTATATATGTATATGTGTGTTTGTATATGTATGTATGTGCATGCACATATATATGCTTTTTTTTGCCAACTTGATATAAGCTACAGTCATTTTGAAAGAGGGCATCTCAATTGAGAAAATGACCCCACTAGACTGTCCTGTGTGGCATTTTCTTGATGTGAGAGGCCCAGCCCACTGTGGGTGGTACTATCCCTGGGTATGTGATTCTGGATGTATAAGAAAACAAACTGAAGAAACCATGAGGAGGCAACCAGTAAGCAGCACTCCCCATGGCCTCTGCTTCCGCTCCTGCCACAGGCTCCTGCCCTGACTTCCCTGGACTACAAGCTGTAAGAGGAGTAAGCCCTTTCTCTCCCCAGGCTGTTTGTGATCATGGTGTCATCACAGCAATAGAAACCTAACTAAGCCAATAAAATAGACATATATACCTATGTCAACTAAACTTTTTTGGATGTACAAAATGAGCAAAATGGACTAATTCTAAAATGCTTGCAGACAGGCTCCTCTTCTCCAGCTCCAGCTCCAGGAACAATGGCCTGCAGCCATCCATGTTTTCTGTACTTGTGACCACCTTTTAACTCACTCCCTAGAATGAAACTAGACCTAGTATGCGGGTCTAGCTACTTACTTGGCCCCTCCAACCCCTCGAAGCTCCATTGTGATGGTGTATCAGGGTTTCCTTTATAGGTGGGCTAATGCAACTTATCTTTTCCCTCACAACATAAGGTGACTATTAGACTCCACCCTGATCTCTTCCGTCTCTTTACCCTCTTCCCTCTGCCTGCAAACCACTGTCTTGAACAGTCATGCTTGCTGGCATCTTCATTTTAAACTGACAACTAAGCCTCTACGCTGCTGCTCCCAGCTGTCTGCAGACACTGACAACCAACAGGAAAGCACATGCGCACAAGTAAATATTACTAGCTGCAGAACTGAGATTACACTTAATTTACCAACGACCACACAAACTTTGCTGCCAACCACACACAGAAAATTAGAATGTCTGCTACACGGAGCCAGTTGGGTTCTCTGTCCTTTAGCCTGTAAGTGCTTGAATAGCCCACCTTTGTTTCTATGTAGACCATGCTTCTTCCTATACTTCCTTCCACAGGTTTCTAGTAACCATCATTTTCCTCAGAGAAGAAAAGCTCATCTTCCAAAGCCCTGTACAAAGTCACCGGTATCATGTCCTCCCACTCAGACATCTACACGTGAGATCTATCCATCCTTTTTGAAGACATCCAAAGTCTGCTTCACAGAACTTACCCTGGGATTCCTTTCTCTGGCCTCTTGTATTAAGTGTTCTTGTGCTGTCTTGCTTGTTGAGGTACACACACCCTTAAGGAATGTCCCCAGATAGCATACATGGAAGATGAATGATCTTACTCTGCCCTCATCTTTGACAGACAGTCTGTCTTTTATGCTGAAAATCAATTTTCTCTTGGAACATTAAGGCTCTACTGTTCTATTGCTCCCCAGACCTGAGAGCTGTTGGTGAGGGAGGCTTGTATCTCAGTCACTGCTTTGCTTTGCTCTTGTTCTTCTGCTCAATGATCCATCACAAAGAGTCATTCTCTGTTGGTGCCCCTACAGTTCCCTTAATAACCCCTCCCACTTGTTATCATTTTTGTCTGCCAAAGAAGAAAATAATTTCTACCATTTTTTCTTTTTTTCCCTTTTGTGGGACAGGGTTTCTCTGTGTGGCCTTAGCTGTCCTAGAACTTGCTCTGTAGACCAGGATGTCCTCAAACTCAAACAGACATTCTCTTGCCTCCGCTTCCCAAGTGCTGGGATTAAAGGTGTATACCACCAACCCCGGCCTAACTTCTGGCTTTTATGACAATCATTTTCTTATTTTCATAAACTCAACATGTGCCCTTACATATAACTCTATCACTTATTTTTGCCTGCTTTTTTAGAAGTCTCTGACTTTTCACTTAACACTCTACTTATGACTCACTCCCTAGGCTGAGTACTGTAATTCATTCTGCCATTGCTGTAATATTTCTGTGTGTTGTTGTGATATTCCTTTGTGTGACTGTCACGTGATGCTATCACTAGTCATTTTCAGTTTTCAAGTGATGACAAGAATCACTGCCACTGACATTCATGTGCATGGCTCCGTTCCTCCAAGCATGCATCTCAGACATGCAGATAGCCAAGTGGGAATGCATAGATTCTATTTTAGTAGATAAAGCCAGACTCTCATCCAACATGGTTCCATTAGTGCCTATGTCCTTTAGCAGTGTGCCAAGAGTCTGTGCCTGAAAGCTCTATGGTAACATCTTCACCAATACTTGGCATCATGAACAACTAACATTTTAACCTCTGGACTGATTATATTTCACCATGTACATGAGAATTCTGGAGAGGAATTTTAATCTAGCAATATGGCTACTCTAGCTGGAATACAGACTCGCCCTTAGTCTGTACACACCTTTAGTCCCAAACAATGGAGGTAAAGTTAGTTAGTAGAAGGAAGAAGAAAGAAAAGTCTAATTGAGGGGCAGAAAGTGACGAATGAAAGAAAGATTTGACAGAACAGGATGTGCCCAATTCTTATGAGAAAGGAGGGGAAAGAGAGGCAACTTACGGGAGAGCAGCACTGGGTCAGGAAGGGGAGGCTGGTTTCCTGGGAGAGTTTTACAGAGACAGGTTAACGAGAGAACAAGCTAAACGCAGGTGAAGACAGAATGAACCACAGCATGAGAAAGGGACAGAAGATTAGAACAGGTTACTAGAATTAGTTTGAGACCAAGCACAGCAATTCAGTCAGAAGCTGAGAGAAGACAGTTTGAATCAGTCAGCTTGGAGAGGATTTTTTTGAGGTAGAACAGCTGAGTTGAACCAGCCAGCCAGAGTTCAGAAAGCACTTACAAAGGGCAAGCTTATTCAGCAATAAGTCTCTGAGGCTGAAAACATTCTAAGCTTGGATTAGATTGTATGGGGGCTAGAAGCTTCTGGGAGTAGGTCTAGGTTAGCAGGTGGAGGCAGTGAGCCTCAACAATTACTTCAGGGGAATAAAAGACTACTTTTACAGAATGTTATTTTAACTTGCATTTTCTAGTAAAGAATGGCCATCACATAATAAATGTGACTTATTTTAAACCACCAATTTTGTGGTAATTTATTATGGAGCAATAAAAAATTAACACATTGTCTCTTTTGTATTCCTACTCTTTGGCCTCTGAGGTTTCATTCTGAATATTTTCTGCTGATGTATCTTCCATATTACTAATTCTTTCTTCAGTTACATCTAATATTTGCAAACATGTTCATTAAGTTTGTAATTCAATTGCCACATCTTTCACATCTATAATTTCCACTTAGTTCTCATTTTTTAAAGTTCTTGTTCTTTCACTGAAGTTTTCATCTTGTCTCTTATCATCTTAAACATATCACCACAGCTATTTAAAAATTTGGATCTAATGATGCTGGGATCCCCTGTTACTCTAATCCTTTTGTCTTATCTCCTTGTGTATCTAGCTATCTTGTATTGTGTTGGACCTTGTATTTATAAAGCTGCTCTAGAAATCATCTGAAACCCAGGACAATGCTATCCTTCAGAATTTACATGGGGGCACTAACACTTTAACTTGCCTCTATAAGTTCAACAAGTGGATGACGACTGGATACTGAGTGGCAGTGCCTCACTCAAGTTAACACCATTACTTCTAGAGTGTGGCCTCTCAATGGCACCAAAACAAAGCAGAGGACTTTTCCAGGCCCTATTAGAGAGCCCCATAATCTACTTCCCATTCTCTAGCCACAAGGAGAGTTAAAGCAGTCCCTTTCAGAATTTAAATGACCCCCAAGAAACAGTCAGCCTCAAACGATGGGCTTCCTATACTAGGCTTGCCTGATGTAATAGTGATTCTTCCGTAACTTATTAGCTCTCTCTAAGGACAAATGCTGAGCATGGATGACAGTATGAGAACACTGGTAGCAAACTGGAATCTGTTTCACTGATGTGTTTTAACATTCCTGGCTTTAGCCTCCTCCCCATTTCATCCTCATTTTCTATACTGTGATCTCTACATTTACAGTCCCCTTGGAGTACTGTGGTAAAAAGGCTCCCTTTCTTGTTTCAAACAACCCTCTACTCACTCTCATTTCTTCTGCAGTATTATCTGGATCAATACCCCAGCTTACTCTAATGTTGCAGAAGTTTATTAAAACTTTTTCATTCACTAATTATTTTCATTCTCTTTTGCTTAGCTCTTTGATTTAGCATCTTAAATCAGAGGTTTCAAGCTATCATTTTAGAGGTGAAAATGTGAAGACTGACCGAGATACAGTGGACTGCCCAAGGTCACAAAGAACTTCAGCCAAGGATCTGTGCGGGGCTCAGAACTCAAGTCTTCTGTCTCACAGACATTTTGTGCTTCACACCAAGAACCTCCTTATCAAAGACACGCTATTCTGGATATTATTTGTGGTTTGTTTATATTAATAAAGGAAAATAAGACAATTTAAAGACAGAGCAATGTTTATGCTTACAGAAAGACGAAAGGAAAGCATGTGCGATCCACCTATACTAATTATTTTGCATTAAGGTTGTAACTGTTACTCCTAGGACTGTCAGACCCAATATTAAAAACTTAAAGAAAAAGAGTAAACATGTCATAGAACCACAGGTTTACATTTTGGGCTGGACATCTCAAGGTTTTAGAAGGGGGAAAGGAAAAGCATACACTAAATTTTGAGTAAATAGTATATATAACTTAGTTGGCATTAATACTTTAAAATGGTAACATTAAAAAACTTATTCCATAGTAAGTTTTATTATTATCTTCTAAGGAACAAAAATATAGAAACAAACCAAATAAGCCAACACTGTAAAGACAATTTGGAAGAGGAGGGGAGGGTCGGGGAACGCAGCTCAACAATGGAGGTTTGCTGAGCACACCTGAAGCCGAGTCTGATGCTCAGCACTGCAAGCAAAAGCAGAAAGAAAATTAGGGTCTAAATATTTTATCTTGGCCCCAGCTCTTACACTTAACTCTGTGCATCACCAGGCCAGCCTGCACTGTGGTTCCCGTGCACACCTGGCCTCACGTGTTTACGATAGTTTAGATTAACAGAACTGACTGGTTTAGAAACCAAAGACTAGTCCTAACACAGTTATTTCTCAGAACTGTAAAAATACACTTGATTCTACATTAGCTTCTAGTGTTGTTCTTGTGGCTACCAAATGGCCACAAGTTATTAATCTAAAACAACCCAAATTTATATCTTATACTTCTGGAGTTCACAAAGGTCAGATGAGCTGTGATCCTCATGAAGGCTCTGGGAAAATCCATTCCTTTCCTTTTTCCAGCTTCCAGAATTCCTGTGCCACAGCACTCACTCCACACTCTGATCACACTTCCTTCTCTGACCAGGACTCTCCTGACTCCCTTTTTAAAGAACAGTTCTGATTACACTGGCCACCAGGCCAATCCTCCCACCTTATGATCATTAATTTGTTGCTTTGTTTTTCAGATGGGGTCTCACTCTGTAGCCCATCATGGCCTTGAACTCACTATGTAGCAGAGCCTGGCCTGCTACTTAAAGTAATCTTCCTGCTTCCATGTATTGGATGTTGAGATCATTAACATAATTAAGCCAGCAAAGTTCCTCTTGCCTCGTAAGGTCACACATTCACAGGATTCCAGGGTTAGGATGCAGCTATCTCTGAGGAGGCATTAGTCTGCTCATCACACCCCCTAAAAGCTCACTGGTAGATATTTTTAAGATATGATGCTCTAGACCACCAATTATCAGCAAAAAGGCCAGATCTTAACAAGCAATGATAGAAAATCAGAGCCTGTTGTCAAAGCAGCAGCTCACCCATTGTTGAGTTTATTTTACCAAAAGTAAACATTTTTGTTTTGCTTTAATAGGAATGTGCCATTGCCAGATGGAATTGCCATTTCCATCTGATACCAAAGGAAAAATAGAAAAGAGAAGGAGGGGTGCAGGTCCAATCACTTCTGAAGTTTCACTTTCCTGTATCAGAATATAAGGTGGGAGGATACTGTAAAACTATCAGTTACAGTTACAAAATTAAAGTGTATGTACATATGCATGCATGTATACATGGGCATATATGTATGTACACACTTATATACATTTGTATGTATATATGTACATAAGTATACATGGGTATATCTGTGTAAGTACGCATGTGTATTTATGTATATGTTTATACATACATAAGTATGTACACATGGGCATATATACATGCATGTGTTTGTGTATGCATGTACATATGTGTGTATGCATGCATGTACACATGTATATATGTAACATACATATGTATGTATGTTTTTGTCTGGTGCTGGCAAGAAGCCCAGGTAGTTCCATACACTAGGCAAGTGCTCTACCAATCAGCTTTCTCTCTAGCCCTAAACGGCTCTTGGATGCAATCACTGTCCTATGGAAATGAATATAATTTATTGAGAATTTCTAAAGAGGTATTTAATGAATATTGATTTGTTCATTATTATGAAGATCCTAAGCAGAGATTAGGTCAGAGTCCTGGTCATACAGAAAAAGTATGAGTGAGTCAAAGTCATGAAGCTTTAACTCAGTGCAATAAGGTCCCAAGAGATCACCAGCTGTTTTAGACCCAGACCTACTCCTAAAACCCATGGGACAGACAAACGTGAATCCACTACACCACATATACAGAGAAGGTCAAGCAGATCTCATGTGATTATATAATACACACTACTCATTTCACTTTTAACCTTCACAAACAAGTCAAAAATGGGCCAAGTGGGATAAATGAAATCCACATTTAATATGAATGCTCAGCCACTCCATAAAGTGAACTCCCCCAAGGCAATTCCTATTCCACCTTCTTCCATCCTCTTATCAAATTACTAGTTCCAAATAAGAAAGAGGCTACAAATCAAGTGAATGCTCACAACTTTCCATTTCCACCCATATTTCCTTACCCAAGCCACCCACGGACTTTAAAAACTTTGTCAAAACAAAACAAACAAACAAACAAAACTTTCTTGTCATAGATCATCTGGGCTGATCATCTCCAGTATGAAAATTCAAACTCTCAATGCTCCAAAAGTGAAGCTTTTTGAGTACTGCCATGGTGCTCAGGTGCTGGATTCTGGAGTATTTTATATTTCACATTTTGGGATTAGAGATGCCCATCACTAAATACAAATACTGAAAAGTGTGACAAAATCTAAACTCAGAATTACTCTGCTCCTGAGTAGGTCAGAAAACCGACACTCCCTCTGTAGTAGCACACACTATCCCTGGGGAGGTAAGACCCACACTGGCAGGTACCCCTCCATGCAGAACCTCCCCTTCCTCATTTATTCTCTGAACTGCATCCTGAACTGCAATCCTGAGCACCCAGGGGTCCCAGTTGCCTGCACTGAGGAAACAGCAGATCACCGTGATCAGAGTCTTCATCAGAGTCTCAACTGACGCCCACTAATGATGACAAGCCAAAACTCTCCTCCAGGAAGGCCTGGGAGTTCTCTCATTCTCAATCCTCTTTGCCTACCAGCTATAAACATTAAATGTTTTGTCTTATTACAATTTCTTTTAAAGACAAAAATAATCTTCTTGTTGGGAGTGGGGAGCTTTGTCCAGAAAACTACAGTCTAAAAAGTTGGGAGGTCCTGACAACAGTAGTCTAGAAAACATGTGAGAAACGTTACCTTTGTCTGGCCAGTGATGTCGCAGCAGCTGACTGTCTTACCATGCAAGAGCCTAAGGTTCAGGGTCAGACTAATGGTTCTGACGTCCTGGGCTGGACACATAGTTGAAGAGAGACACCAAAGAAGAGACGGCCAGCCCAACCCCTCACACAGCATCCCTTCCTGGTTAATCCATGGTGTGATAATGACACTGCCTGGCCTCATCCTGCCAATGAATGGCAAGGCACTGCAATGATGGCGCCTGGAAATGAATAGGAGTGATTGGGAATAAAAGGAGGAGGGGGGAGAAGGTGGCCATGATGAAGAAATGAATAAAACGCCAAATTCCTGTTACACCTCACTGTTATACCAATTATTCTGATATCATAATGACAAGGCAAATGAAAAAAAATTTAAAAATAAATAAATAAATAAAACCATCAACAAAGCAAAAGAAAAACTAAGTTTGTATCCTAGATATGACTGTATATCATTACAGCAAGGGTTGATTTATTTAGCTCAAAATCTACGACAGGGAGCATTTTTAAATCAGTGCTTCTAAAGTCTTATTTAGTTTTGCTTTTTACTAAAGGCTTATTAGTCTATGCTATTAGAACAGCCCAGACTTACCAGACAATTCCTTGGGCTCCAGACCCGATTGGTTTCAGTTGCTGGTAACGTTTTAGAACAGTGAAAGTTGAGTCCGCCACTTGCACACTGTAAAACTGACCATCGCCTTTACTGTCACTCATGATGCAGTATCATACAGCACTCCCAAGAGCTTGCACCTTCGTCAGACCCCTGAAGAGAGAAGCAGAATGAGCTGACCAGCTGAGCTGACCAGCTTACCAGACCGCATATGAGGAGCTCAGCTCACAGTGCTTCCGATCTGCTGGGATTTAAGACAGTAGGGCTGAGATGGAAAACTCAGCGGGCCAAGCTCTCAATTTCTTTGTATGTACAAGAGGCACACACACATTTCAGCAGTGAATGACCATGAAAAGAAGAAATTAGAAGAAAAATTTCTAACATTTATTTATTTTATGTATCTGGGTGCTTTTCTGTGTCTGCATGCATGTATGTATGTATGTATGTATGTATGTATGTATGTATGTATGTATGTATGT